GCTTAGACAAACAGTTATTGTTGGGCATGTTTTGGAAACTAATGTTAATGTCAGGTGAGGCCTGCAGGGGCCCAGCCCCAACAAGAGGGCAGTGATGGCCAGAGGTAGGGGAGAGGGATTGGAGTGTGAGTGTGGGGTGAGCAGTAGGAATTTACATGTCTTAAAAGTGGGAAAGTGTGGATGGGGTGTGCATGTGGACGACGGAGGGTGTATCTCTCTGTGCACATGTGTGTGTGCATGTGTGAGCTATGGAGGTTAGCTCCCGGAAGGCAAGGTGGGGACTTGAGGGTGGGGCCACCTCTGGAACCTGTAGGTCTATGAGAAAAGGGTCTCAGCCAGGAGTGAGAGTCCCTGCTTTGGTCAACCCCACCCTTACCTGGAGCTCCAGCCACCTGCACAGGCCATAGCTGCCTCACCCTGGACATGACCCTACCTGAACTCCCTGGAGCCTCTTGGAAGATGTATGAAATGCTCAAGGGGAACATGGACATTCCCCCAGAGCTCATTTCAGGAGCGAGGGAAGAACTCCTTGCACCATGCATGTGGGATTTGCATAGCTGACCACTTCACATCAACTGGCCACTTCTGGACCACGACTGCCTATGAGCCCAAGGCCCCAAATTTTAGCCTGGCATTTGAGGCCCTCACCAAACATCCCCCATACAAGTCCCAATCATGTTTCCCAGAATGCCCTGAAGTAAAACAAACTGAAGTCTTACTCTGTGCTAAACACTGAAAGTCTTTTACATCAAGTGGATGAGGGTTCACAATCTTTTGAAATGGGCACTTTCATGATTTCCATTTTACAGATGAGCAAGTCGAGGCTCCAGGAGGTGAAACAACTTACCCAAGATGACACAGCGGCCAAGTGGCGTTTTGGCCACGACACAAACTCCAATCAGGGGTTTCCTGCCTATTCATAGAAGATGCTCCTGCTCAGAGGTGGTGGCAGACTCCCTGAGGTTAGTGTCCTTGATTTCCTGTTCTGAAAGTGTAATGGTGCAAGTGACAGGAGACCCAGGTTGAAATCCCAGCTCTGCCCTTTCTTGTTGTGTGGCTTTGAGCTCATAGCACCTGTCCCTGAGCCTTGGTTCTGCAATTACAAAATGGGTATGACTATTTTCCACTCCAAGGGTCTTGACTGAGCTGGGCGATATCTGAATGAATAATTATTAAATGTGCAAGCTGGTAGCAACCCTGGCCCTACGCCCACTGCATAGAAGGTGTTTAGGACAGCTGGCTTGGATTTTAGTCTATCCCTGAGCAATTTACATCACTGCTCTTGCTGCATCCGTAAAGTGAAAGCTGAGACTTGCTCTCCAACCAAGGTCTTTCTTCTGTGAACGCTGTCCAATTGCCCCCCTCTGTAACCCAGGCCAGTGTGCCCCACCATGCCCTGTACTTGGCACCATTTATAGCAGGGTTTCTCAACCCCAGCACCGTGGGCATTTGGGGCTGGATAATTCTTGTTGCAGGGGGCTTTCCTATGCATTGGAGGATTTGAACAGCATTCTGGGCCTCTAGGCACTGGATGCCCTTACCATCCCTCAGCTGGACATTGCCAAATTCCTCAGGCGGCAACATCATCCCTGGTTGAGAAGCACTGATTTATTGCAATCACTTTTCATTGCTACTTGTTTTCCCTGGAAATCAAGAATTGCAATTCCGGCCAGGAGAGGTGCTCACACCTGTAACTGCAGCACTTTGGGAGGCCGAGGCAGGAGGATCACTTGAGCCCAGGAGGTTGAGACCAGCCTGGGCAACACAGACGTCATCTCTACAGAAAATGAAAAAATTAGCTAGGCAAGATGGCACACACCTCTAGTCCCAGCTCCTTGGGAGGCTAAAGTGGGAGGATCGTCTGAGCCTGGGAGGTTGAGGCTGCAGTGCACTGAAATGGTACACTGTACTCCAGCCTGGGCAACAGTGTGAGGCCCTGTCTCAAACAAAACAAAACAAAACAACAAAAATGAATTGCAGTTCAGAGCACAGGCCCTAGATTCAAATAGTCTGGGTATGAATCCTGGCTCCACACTTCCTACTGTGTGATGTACAGCAAGTCCTCCTCTCCAAGCCTCGGGAGCTTCATCTGTATAAAAGAACAATACAGCATTTGCTTCATGGAACCATGGTGAGGGTTAAATGAGATGACAAATGTCATGTGCTTAGCATGGTTCCTGGAAACTGAATGATGGGAGCTAGGAGACCCGGGTGGGCTCTGGAGAGTCTCATTCTGGGCAAAGGGGAAGAGGAGTCCAGGACTAGAGGGATTTGAGAGGCCTTGTCCCTGCCACCCAGTCGGCTGGGCAGGTACCTCATCTGTGCCAGTGTTTCTGGTTACCAAGCACTTGCCCCGAAGCCTGTGCACAGAGGTTAATGAGCTCTTTAGTTCTGATTACTTGCAAGGTTTCGCTCACTCAGCTCAGCACCTGCTGTGCCTGATTGATGGTGACCCTGCAGCCACAGAAGACCACAAGCCAGAACCAGGACAATCAATTAGTTCCAGGCCCCAGGAAAGACTCTTCCTCTTCACATATGCCTGCAAAAGGAGAGAGGAGGATGGAAGGTTCTGGTATTGTCTCACACCGCCTTCCCACGTCAACTCTCTCCCAGAACTAAATGTCAGATCTGGGCTTGAAATAGCTAATGCGTATTGGTTGTTTATGCCAGGAACTGTGCTAAATGTTTTATCTGCTTTTAATCCGGACCACACCTCTCTGAAATGAATGTAATTATGATCCCAATTCTACAGTTAAAAAAACTGAGTTTCTGAGAGTTGATGTCATTGCCCAGTTGAGTCACCCGGCTGGTCTGAGTCATACAGCCCAGGACAGACATGCAGATGCTGTAGGAGACTCACTTTTTGCAACCTCACTTTCCCCTTATGTAAAATGGGCCAACTCGTACACCCATCCCATTTGAATGTGGTGAATGGGAAGAAATCATACTTGTGAAGTGGGCTGAAAAGTTTACAGTGCTGGATACCAATTGCTATTCTCTGAGAGAGAGATTGAGGGTGAGATAGGTCTGGATTAACTCAGCAGAAATTGGCATTCTAGGGTGCAGTTGGTCACTCATCGTGGGGTTTGCTCTTAGTCACTAATGTTAGAAATGAACTATAGTTATACTTTTTTTTTTTTGAGACAGAGTCTCACGCTGATGCCAAGGCTAGAGTGCAGTGATGAGATCTTGGCTTACTGCAACCTCCACCTTCCAGGCTCAAGAGATCCTCCCACCTCAGCCTACCAAGTAGCTGGGACCACAGGCGTCCACCACCATGCCCAGCTAATTTTTTTTGTATTTTTAATGGAAATTAGGTTTCACCATGTTGCCCAGGCTGGTCTTGAACTCCTCCTGAGCTCAAGCGATTTGCCTGCCTTGGTCCCCCAAAGTGCTGGGATTATTTATAGGCATGAGCCACTATGCCCAGCCCAGTAATAAATATTCAAACTAGCAACTCATATTTTTAAGAACACTTACTAGGTGCTGGTCACTGCTCCAAGTACTGATGTTAATTCGTGTAAGCCTCACAACGTTGGGAGGTAGGTACCACAGGTACAATAATTATGCCCATTTTACAGATGAGACAATGGAGGCTCAGAGCAGCTAAGTGACCTGGCCTGGGCAATATAGCTTGCACGTGGCAGAGATATTTAGTAGAATGAGACTCCAGACCTGTCAATCCACTCCCTTCCAGTGTGTGCTGAGAAGGACTTAAACAGCAGCAGCAGCTCCTCTAGGGAAGCGCCTGGGAGTTCCCATCAAATTTGCCAGATAGTCTGTTTCTCCATCTTCAGTTATTTTGCTGTTGAATGAGTTGAATAGTCCCAGCTTCACTGGTTTTCCAGGTCAGGTGAGATCTTGTTTTATAGAAGCACTTCACAAAGTGGCTTTTAAAAATCCGGTGTACTTAGAAGTCTGTCATGCTGTGTGTGGCCCCAAGAGGGCTCTGAGCTTTTGGTCACGACTTTGGGGCCAGCCAGTTACTTCATCCCTCTGCACCCAGCCTCCCCGTCTATAAAATGGAATTGCATGACTGTGGGAATTCATATGGGCACAGATCATATGCTCAATGTGGAGAGCCATGGTCTTGTGCACATCTGTGTATATTTACGCGTTCACACCATATTCATCCCTAGGGAGAGAATGCATTTTTGCCCAACTGGCTGGAAGAATACTTGGCCAGACTGTGATCATCTGGATTATAGTGCAACAAACATTCACTTCATCCCTCCTCCCACTCTGGGTGGAGTTTACAGCCCTGTCCTATTGAAAGGCTCAGTCATTTGACTTGCTTGGACCAATGAAATGTTGGTGGATGTGGTTTGAGGTGATGTTGTGACTGTATTTGTACAGCTTGATTGGCTTGGCTCTTTTTTTTTTTTTGAGGCAGGGTTTTGCTCTGACACCTAGGCTGAAGTGCAGTGGCACAATCAAGGCTCACTGCGGCCTCAACCTCCCAGGCTCAAGTGATCCTCCCAGTTCTGCCTCTCGAGTAGCTGGGACTACAGGTGAGTGCTGCCATGCCTGGCTAATTTTTTTTTTTTTTTTTTTTTTTGGTAGGGATGAGGTTTCATCACGTTGTGCAGGCTGATATCAAACTCCTGAGCTCAAGCAGTCCACTTGTCTCAGCCTCCCTAAAGTGCTGAGATTACAGGCTGAACCCATCATGCCCAGCCTGGTTTGGCTCATATGTTCTGATGATCTTTCATGGGAAGAGCATGCCCCAGGGATTTTCTTCTTCAGCCTGACCCCTGAAACAGGGAGACATGTGGAGCTGACTTGAACCTGACCTGAAGCCTAAAGAGGAGCCTCTTAGGTAGACCCAAACTGGAATCACAGACCCATGGGCACAAAGATAAATGTTAGCTGTTGTAAGCCATGACGTTTGGGGGAGGTTTGTTACACAGCATTACTGTGTCGATAGCTGGCCGATACACTGGCCAATGTCATAATTCAAGCTTCTTTTTGTAGAGCAGACAATAGAATTCAGACCTGTCTTGGCGGCAGTGCAATGCAGTAATTCTCAAATTCTTTATTGGCATAAATAATTCAGACATTGGTTTCTCACTAAACATTGCACTAAACACAAGAAACGAGAGGCTTGCCGGCTCAGAGGCACACAAACTGTCCAACAGCCCAAGTTAGAAATACTTTTTTTAGAAGTGTAGAAAACTTTATAAATGATTCTGTACAAATATACACAGCGGACCCTCCATCCATCTGGACTTTCTTTCCTGGATGGCATCTGAATAGAATGTTCCTTCTCAGCAACAAGACATTGGCAAGAAGTGCAAAGGAGAGAGACAGAGACAGAGACAGAGATAGAAACGGAAAGGAAAAAAAAAGAAGTGGCCCCAAAAAAGAAAACATGAAACCGCTTTCTCACATCAACTCATTCTGCGACAGTCGACACAAACAAACATGGAGAAAAGAACAGGGACCATCGGTCCGCGTTGGTCTGTACAAGAATTAGTCTTTATATATATAATATATATGTATAATATTTATAGGTCTATATACTTTGTGTATAGAAAAAGATAACAGCATAATTTACATACAGAGAAAGCCTTTTTACAATTGAGGAATTCTCCTAAGGTCAGTAACTTCAAGAGTAATCAATCAAATTAATCATGCGTTAAGTCTGCGGAGTGGATCCCGGTACAAGATCAAGTCTTAGAGAGAGGGAAATGAGAGGCTGGGGGTAGAAATGTTGACCACCTAAGTTTGGAATCTTTTCAGCCTGGTCCAGGTATCCATCAAGGTCACAGACCTGATGTGATCGGCCTTGTCTGCCCCAGTGAACTTCTGCTTTGGGAGTCGCAGGAAGAATGTTCTGTTTCTAGGAGGACATTGGTGGGGTGGGGGCTTGTCTTGCCAGAGACTCTCTTGCACCCTAAGAGTCTGATCCTCTGCTTTATAGGTGGGGGGAGGGGGCGTCCTTATGAGACCTGGGCATCCCTCCCCATGTTCAACAGGACACCAGCATTTAAGTAAATGGGTAACACCCACCTTCCCACTATTCTAGTCTCCTATTTTTTCAGAAATGTCCCCCTAGAGGTGGGATTCTGGGGTAAGTTCATTTGGGTGGTTGAGAAGAAAAGCCACATTTAAAGCACCTACTGTATGCCAGGTATTGTGTAACATTATTGACATTCATTATTTCATCCACTCCCTCCAACAATTTCAAGGGCTAGTAATATATTAAGCGCTCATGAGCTGCACGAAGCTAAGAAAATTCAAGGAATACTCTGAAAGGACTGCTGATGATGAGACAGTGTTGGTGAAATCATCATCCACGATAGAAAGTGGCTCAAGAAATGCAAATTGAGTCAAGTTGAAGCAGATAAATAAGCTTCACTAATTTGCAGTAGCCACATAGACCCTGGGAGTCCAGCAGTGAGCAAAGATGCTTTGTTTTCTGTCCTTCAAACCCTAACATCTATTTATAGGGACACCAAACACACCATTCCACCAACAGGCCTGATACATTATTTCCCACACTTCAGACTGTGTTGAAGACTTGGCCTGTGGCCCCCTATGACCCCTAGGTCTTCTTCAGTCATTTCTGTAACCGGCATTTTTTCCATCACACCTGTAATGTTTTGTTGGAGACCCTCAGTGGAGGGTCTTTCCATAAATACACTTCCACATTCATGCCTGTCCTTGACCTCAACACTCCAGGGGCCTATTCATAGAGTGATATAAACTGTCCAAGAAAGAGGACATGGTAAGACTGCTGAAAGTTTTTTGGTGTGGCAAGACAGATCTGGGGGCCTCAGAGAAATCAGAGACACAGGTTGTAAGACTTGATAGAGGGAGAGTGAAGCAAAAGAGGAACAGGAATGAAAACGCTTTAGAGAGAAGGGCTGGTGGCCAACCCATCTATAGCCAAGATGCCCATGGGCTTCAGGACCCATTACGGGGCACTAAGAAACAGAGACGCATCCTCCACTGTGTGAAGGCAGGCAGAGACAGAGAAGACTGCAGAGCCGGAGAGGGATGCAGAGCAGGCCTGAGGTGGGCTGAGAACTGGTCTGACTCCAGCAAGCACAAAACCCTCCTCAGACATCTTCCCCCACAGGACACCACGGCTGACAGTAGGGACCATGCTGGAGAGAGAAGTCAAGGTCTCCACATCTGAGCCAGGGTACCCTCTGTTTGGAGATGGAGCCTCCAGCAGCCCCAAATCAGGCTTTGGAGAAAGCATGGAAAGGCAGGCAAGTGCCAGGGGCAGGCTTTTAGCCACTTGCAGTTACCCTCAATAAATCATGATCTTGCCTGTGAGTCCACACATAGACTGTTCCTTCTGTCTGGCACATTGTTCCCTACAATTCTACTCAAATTCCAAGACATGGTTCAGAAGTCTCCTCCTCTGAGAACCCTTTCTGGAGGGTCCTTTTCCAGGTTGGGAGCTCCTCGGGGGCCTTGGGACCCTACTGGAACTCCTCCCTCTCTCCCACTGGACTCCTAGTACCATGAAGGCAGCAGCCACTTCTCTCCATTTTTTCCAGAATCACAGGAGGCACTTAATAAATATTTACTAAATGACTGTATAAAATGAAGATTTGGGGAATGAAGGGATAAGGGTTGCTCTGGGCAACTGTGAGTTTGGCTCTGCTGAGAGTTTAGTGAGTGTCGCTGGGGCTATGAGCCTTTGAAATACAGGGAAGATTTTCTTAGAATCCTTTGGCTGCTCAACTGGAGGCATTTGAAATCCACCAATGTACCCCAAAATAGGGCTATGGTGGAACTAGAGGACGTGGCACAGAAGCAATGCCTGGTGGAAGATGGGACAGCTATGGGAGCTCAGGGAGAACAGAGACTCCAAATTGGATGCCATCTTGGAAGCGGGCGTCAAAGAAGCTCAGGTGACACTATGCCTGAAATACCACCATATGGGTTTCCAGCTTCTGTGCTGCAAGGCTTGGGGCTTTATGAGGATTGATTCCCACAGCAAAGTCAGGGTGTGTTTTGGTGGAGTGGGGAGTACAGTATATGATATTCCTTGATCAGTAGGGACCACAGGGGTCCTCAGCAGGAGAAAGATGTCTGAAAAGAAGGAAGAAGGGGCCAAGCAAAGATTTATGCATCTCACAGTTGTGCAGAAGACTGACCCCTGAAACGGGGAGACATGTGGTGCTGACTTGAACGTGGCCTGAAGCCTAAAGAGGAGCCTCTTAGGTAGACCCAACCTGGAATTGCAGACCCTTGGGCACAAGGATAAATGTTAGCTGTTGTAAGCCATGAGGTTTGGCGGAGGTTTGTTACACAGCATTACCATGTCGATAGCTGGCTGATACACTGGCCAATGTCATAATTCAAGTTTCTTTCTGTACAGCAGACAAAACAGAATTCAGACCTGTCTTGGCGGCAGTGCAAGCATTAAAGGCAGCCCCTTCCTTAATGCACCAGTCCAGCCAGGACTGTCAGGACAGCTTTGAAGGGGTAGGATGTGTAGTGCTCCCTAGAGCACTGGCTAGGAGGGAAAGGGGGCCGGGGCAGGGGGCCTTGGTGTGGCAGGGCAAGTACCTTAGAGTACCTTGATGCCTATGCTGTAGCTACCCAGCAGTTACTTGAACTTTCAGAAGTTCATATATACCCATTTACAAATTATTACTTATAACACATGTAGAAAAATAAGCAGAGGAAAATGGCTAGAATCTGACAGGACCAATACATTACATTAATTGTCCAGGACACACTTAAGCTGCCAGTGATCCAACCTGGGCAGGGCTGTGTTGGGGAGAGGTTGACCCCATCAGGGACAGAACCCCAGCCAACTTAATTGTCTCTTGGAAGGTGTCCCAACTCCCAAGGCAATTTTCCAAGATCTTGTCTTTTGTAAGGCCCGACTCTTCCTTTCTGTCCCCCTTCCCAATCCTGGGACTGCTGGGAGCCCCAAGGATTTGATTCTAGGGGTAAAATGGCTGGACCTACAGAGGCCATCCTCACACACTGCCTGTCTCCATGCCTGAATCAGTCACAGGGGACTGCACTGAGCTGCCACATCTTGTCCAGACTGTCCGTGTTGTTGCTTCATTGCTACCAGACAGCCATTCTAACCTGGCTTCTTCACAGTGAACTGGGAACTGGAAAGAAGGTGGAAAAGGCCCTTCACTATCTGGGGACTTTCCTTCCTGGGGAATACAGAGGGGCTTTCCCTGAGTAGCCTCAAAAAGCAACACCAGGATTGCCAGATGCAAGTCTCAAGATTTCAGTTCAGCAAGAGGATCTGCTTCCTAGGAGGGCTGTGGAAGAATGGAGAGAATGATTGGAGCTTTCAGCCCCTGTCCATGCAAATGGTAAAAGGCGGGTCCACATTGTCCTTACCTAGACAGCATTCAAACCACTGGCGATGCTAAATAGTGCTTTAAAAACCTATTTCCCTGCCGTGTTCACTCAAGGAGTCTCCTCCTTGTGTTTTTCTCTTTCCCTCTGATTTCCTTTCCCCCATGAAAGGTTGCAGATGGCAGGATGCTGGATTTGAATCCTAGTGGTGTGGCCTGGAGACAACTCAGGAGACATTTGGCAATGTCTGGAGATGGTTTTGGATGTCACACTTTGGATGTCAAAGTGTACCCAAAAAAGGGCTATGGTGGAACCAGAGGATGAGGCACAGAAGCAATGCCTTGTGGAATATGGGACAGCTATGGAAGCTCATGGAGAACAGAGACTCCAAATTGGATGCCATCTTGGAAGTAGGGGTCAGAGAAGCTCAGGTGACACCATGCCTGAAATGCCACCATATGAGCTTCCGGCCTCTGTGCTCCAAGGTTTGGGGCTTTATGAGGACTGATTCCTGACAGCAACGTCAGGGTGTGTCTGGGGATGTTTTTGGATGTCACCAGTACCAGGTGCTACTGTATCCTGTGGGGAGAGTTGAGGAAGCTGCTTAACATCCTACAATGACAGTCGCCACCTCAAAGAATTATCTGGCCCCAAATAGCTCAACGGTGCTGAGGTTGAGAAACCCTGTCTTTGAATGATCATCTCTTCCTCCTTCTCTGCCTTTATATCTTGATTTAAATGTCACTTCTTCAGAAAGACCTCTGCCAACAGCTCTCCCAGAGTAGCATCCTCTCCCATGTTTCTGGTCCCCCGTGAGTTTGCTTTCCATAGATCTACGTGAACTGCAAATGTATACATTTGTTGTTGGCTTGGTTCTTGTCTCACTTCCCCATTGGGCTCTAGGCTTCAGAATAAAGGAGACTTTGTATCACTCATTGCTGAATGCCCAGGGTCTAACACATAGTAAATGCTCAATAAATCACCCATTGAATGAACGGTTGGTGAAGAAATAACCCTACAGAATTCCAGACAAACCCAGAATGCTAGTATCCACGTGAGGACACAAAGACCGTTCTTCTACCTTGATCATCCTGGCGCCCATCACTCAGAGAAGGCCTCTCTGGTTATTGTTGGCCTGAATTTATTTCCTCCTGATATCCTGATACCAGCCTTTCCAAAATTCTCACTGTAGCGCTGGAGGTCAGGGTATTTTTAAACTAGAAGAACTAGCCAAGCTGGTATTTTCTTTTAAGTGGTGGAAAAGAAAAACTAAGATTTGTTTTTAATCATTAGACTTTCAAATCTAAGAAGGCGTGATACAAATAGCACGTTGGCATAAACAATTGCTGCCCACTCACCGGAGGGAGGGAGCCGTTCTTCTGAGCGAATTTAAGCTGAATACATGGCAGCTATTTTTCATCTCTACAATTGTGAAACTTTCTCCTAAGTTTGCAGTACAGGGGAGATATTATTTGGCAGAATGTAGATGGGGGGTAAGTGAAGAAGAGAAGGAAAAGAAGAGGCAGTGGACAGAAGATACTCCCAGCCACTGAGCTGGTGATTAGAGGCATTTCAAGAACTCAGGAGTAGAGCTGGTGGTCCACTAGGACCCCAAGATCTCATCTGGGTGGAAACTTGATTTTGAGTCTTCCATTCATGGAAGAAACCAAAGAGCAACTGGAGTCAGGCTCCTTTTCCTGCCCTTCATATGTGACATCCCCTGACTTCCCAGAAGCCCAGATTGAACTGCAGAACTTTAGAAAAACTCCTTAGGAAAGAAAAGCCCTTGCAGCTCTCCGGCACACCACCACGCGCACTGTTATTCCTTAAGGCCCCCATATGCCACCACTTCCAGCCCAGCTGTTACTAGAGTGGGGGCAGCATTCAGGCCTTGTGGTGAAGCCATCCCAGAAGATAAATAATTTTTCTCCAAGCAGGCAGATTACCGAGTAGGATCATACACACAGTCTTAAGGACAGAATCTTTCTTTCTGCAGTTTCCAAGTTCCCTGAGAAGAGACATCTGTAGGGCTCTGCTAGGCTGTCCACCAACTACAGCCCAAATGGCTAGGCTACTGGAAGTTTCTGAGGCCTGAGTTCTAAACCTACCTCTGCCTCTTAGAAGGGACCTGACTTAGGGGAGTTTATTATAGCCTCCCTCTCTGGGCCTCAGATCCTGCTTCTTCAAAAGGTGGAGAAGTGTGAGATACAGGAGGGTCGTTCATGTCCATTTTAAGTGGTAACTCAAAAGCCCTGAGGCTACATCTGTGATCACTGGGAAGGCATGCTGTGATGGATTAGTGATGTCTGCCAAGGGTACAGGACGGGATGCTGGTGATAGATCTGTTACATATTTGTAAGGCTTGGACCAGATCTTCATCCTTCTAGATTTTTTAGATAGAGATCCTTCTAGATCATCATTCCAATGACTTGGGTGAAGATGAAAACTTAGGTGAAAACTTTGCTAAGCCTTCTGAGGGTGTGACATCTTATATAATTTTCACATTGGCTTCCAAGCCATGGTATGTTGAAGCCACCAACACACAGCAAATTTGACCCCTCCATTGGAAGACACCATCAGCCAGAAGCGGTGTTCTTGTTCATGGAACCACTGCCCATATGCATGGAATCAGGGTCTAAGCTACTTTTCTCATCTCCTAGCAGGGTCTATGAATGCTGGTGGTCAGTTCTTTTCAGTGGGCCAGTACATTGACATTGCCTTCTTCAGTACCAGGTAAGGTATCAAGTTTAATTCACAGAGGTTGACCTTGTTGGAGATTCAGAAACAAGCCTGGGAAAGCTTGGGAAGAACAGCCTCCTATCAGCCATTTAGAGATTCAACCACACAACAGTGTCTTAAAAGTTCTGATAAGTCCTGCAATCAAGAAATTAGTTTCATCTTATTTTACATAAGCATTTCCAATGTATACGTGTCCCAGGACCCTTTCAGTAATGCAACATGCAGCTAGTTTTCCATGGAATGAAAGGTCTATGGAACACACATGGGAAGCAAGGTCTTACTCAGATCAGGCACCTTCTAGGCAGAGTCCATCTCCTCCAGCTCAGTCCTCAGTGGAAGGAGGGCAGCCATTCTCAACCCCATGAGATGAAACCTTCATATTGTTGGTGCTAGAAAATGGGAGCTGCATGATCACAGTGAGTGGGAAGGAAGGGCCCTTTCCCACCCAGGAGAGGGAAGAGCATTTACTAATGGATGCCTCTCGGGAATACAGGACCACAGTTCAACCTCCAGCATGAGAGGGATGGGATGGGAAGCCTGGAGCAGGGGTGCTGGAGGGAGGCAGGAGGGGCTCTGCCAAGCCAGATGCACATTTCCTGGAAATCCGGGCTGCTGCTGGCAGCCTGTCAGTTTGAGAACATAAGTGCAAGCTTCTGTGCAAACTCCCAGGAGGATCCCTGCTGGCCCCTGCACCCTCCCTTTCACAACTTCCTGCTTTTCTTCTCTCTCTCTCTTCTGGTTCCAAGTTGCCAATAAGTCAAAAAGGCTGGGACTGTAACGTCCCCATGGGCAGCTGGTCATGAACTCCTCAACCTGGGAGTGGGTTCCTGGAAATGGACGAGCCCAATGACTTGTTTTTAACACATTGGCTCTGTAATTTGGAGGCTGTTTTTTGCCCCTGTACCACAGTTTCCCTGTTGAAATGAGAATAAGACTACCTATCTCCCAAAACCATCATAGGAATTCCAGCCTGGCATCTAGTAAGTGCTCTGTGAGCGGAGGCTGTTCATGGTGGATCATTACTCTGCCTCCTAGGGTCTAGACATCCTGGGTCACCCAACCCAATGGGTCACTTTATAAGTCACAGATATTAAGCCTGGCAAGCTAGCTGGGCACATTGGCTTATTCCTGTAATCCCAGTACTTTGGGAGGATGAAGCAGGGGGATTGCTTGAGACCAGGAGTTCAAGACCAGTGTGGGCAACATAGCAAGACCCTATTTCTATGAAAAGTAAAAAACTTCCCGGGCATGATGGTGTGCACCTATACTACCAGCTACTTGAGAGGCTAAGGTGGGAGGATTGCTTACGGCCAGGAGTTCGAGGCTGCAATGAGCTATGATCATGCTGTACTTCAGCCTGGGTGACAGTAAGACTCTTAACCCTTAACAACAACAACGAACCAAGCAAACTCATTGGGGTTGCGGTGGCACCCACAACACGGTCTGGCAAAGGGGAATCCTGATACCACCCTGCCAATGGTGCCCTTCTAGCTCCCTGTGCTGGGACCTCATTCTTACCCAGCAACCCTTTCTGTCTGCATTCTGTAAACATTTTTTGAGCACCTACTATGTGCCAGGCACTATTAAGACAAGTCCAGGAGGCCACTGGGACTGCAGATTTTCCACCAGCTTCCTGCCCGACTACCGGTTTCAAAATTAAACTGGTAACAGAATGGCCATGAATTGCAGAGCCTCGAGAAGGGAGTCTGGGATTTGGGTTAATGTCATAGGCACTGACCAGAGAGGACAGAGGTTCACTGTGGCTCCACTTTCCAGATCCCAGACTGACATTCGCTGCCTGTCATTCCCCTTGGAGTTCAAAGTGATTCCCTTTCATGTGTATGCAGGTGAAGGCGAGGTAGGGTGGGAGGAGGCGAGGCTGGGAGCCAGGGAAATTGGCTGTGTGAGTCTGCCTGGGAACTTCCCCACATCACAGGCGAAGTCAAAAAAGGGAACAGCAAAACATAGCTCATCAAAGTCCACTCCTTTGTCAGTGAATGAGAGTATAGAAAAAATCAGATGCTGTGTCACCAACCACTTTGGATGGGGCTATGAAGCACATTCTGGGGTCAAGTGACAGTCTTGCTATAGACAAGCCACTTACACACAGGCTGTTCCCCTACAGTCACAAAACTGAGATCCCGACTTCTGGAAGTCAGTGATGGGACGTGGTGATTGTAGTAAGCTTGGTAAGCATGACAGCAACAGCCTGACCTCAGGGGTCAGGAATTCTGGGAAATCTGTCTTCCAGGGGACCTGAGTGCTACAGTGGAGGGACCAGTCAAGGCACAAGAGAAAATGTCTAAGAGGGTGTTATAAGTTGAACTGTGGTCTCCCCAAATCCTTCCCCCACCAAAAAAAAAAAAAAAAAGACATGTTGAAGTCCTCATTCCTAGTACCTCAGAATGTGACTTGATTTGGAGAAAGGGTCATCGCAGATATAATTAGTTAAGATGAGGTCATACTTAAGTAGGGTGGGCCCCTGATCCAATATGACTTGTGTCCTTATAAAAAGATGGCCGTATGACTATATGAACACACAGAGAGGTGATGAAGGCAGGGACTGGACTGACATGGCTGCAGGCCAAGGAATGCCAATGATGACCAGGAAAGCACCAGGAGTTAAGAAGCCACCAAGAGGGATTCCCTTACAGATTTCATGGGGAGCATGGCCCTGCTGACACTTTGATCTTGGACTTCCAGCATTCAGATGGGTGAGAGATGATCTATCTGCTGTTTTCAGCCTCTAGTGGGTGGTGATTTGTTGCAGCAGTTCTAGGAGCCTCACAGAGGTGAGGGAGGCTTGGGGATACCGGTGGGCACAGTGGAACAAGACCAGCCTGTGGGGGATGGATGGGTGAAGTAAAGGTGGGCACAGGATGAGGACAGGGAGGGCATATTTGGGGACTCAAGATTGAGAACCAGTGTGGGGAAAGAAAGCCAGGGATGGGAGTAAAATCACAGAGCCTTGGAAATATCAAGTGTCTTTGTTGTGGATGGAATTGTGTCCTGCTCAAATTCTCATGTTGAAGGCCAAACCGTCAATGTGACTAGACAAGGAGATAGGGCCTTTAAAGACGTAATAGGATAAAATAGGTCAAAAGTAGGACCCTAATCTAAGAAGACAGCTGTCCTTATCAGAAGAGGAAGATATACTGGGGATGTGCAGTCACAGAGGAAAGGCCATAATCAGAAGGCAGCCGTCTGCAACCCAAAGTGACAGACCTCACCAGAAACCAACCCTGCTCACACCTTGATCTTGGACTTCCAGCCTTAAGAACAGTGAGGAATAGATTCATGTTGTTTAAGCCACTCAGTGTGTGAAATTTTGTTATCATAACCACCTTAGCAAATTACGAGTCTTAAAGTCCAGGGAGTCTATCTAGCTTTCAGGGCCTGAATTGCCTCCATATCACACATGCCAAGTAGTCAACATCTGCTCCACCCTCTCCAAGGAGAGGGAGTTCTCTACTTCCTGGGGCAGCCGCTGCATCTTGGGGCAAGCTGGCCTTCTTCCACTGAAACAAGATTTTTCTCTCACCTCTCCAACTTCCCCCATGGCTCCTGTTCCTCCCCTGACAGCCATATCCCATCCTCTCTATCAAAAGTTAGTGAAGTTAGGAAAGGGCCAGATTGTAAATGTTTTTGACTGTGTGAGCCACAGCCTCTCTGTTGTAAATAGCCAGCTCCATCACTGTAGCACAGGAGCAGCCGTGGTTGCATAAATGGAGAAGTGACTGTGCTCCAATAACATTTTGTTTATTGACATAAAATTTGAATGTTATAAAATTTTCATGTCATGAAATATTATTTTGATGTTTCCTCAGTTAAAACATGTAAAAACCATTTGGCAGGCTGGATATGGCCTATGCGGCATAGCCTGCAACCCTGGGTTGATAATGATTGGCCTGATCTCTGTGTCCATGACTTCCTCCCTGTACCTTTGATGATCAGGTGTAGGTGGGGATAGGAATTGTGGAAGGTGAGAGAAGGCTGGGTTTGGGTGTATGTGTAGAGGAGCATGATGTGTGTATATGGCATAGGAGGTGAGAAAAAGGGAAGAACTAGGTTTCCTGGATACAAAAATCTAGTGATCAATATCAGTCAAGGGCTTCTATTGACTGACAATCCAAGGTAGTTGTGGAGAGAAGTGGATGGGGAGAAGATGGGGGTGGGGGGTCCCTCGCAAGATGAAAATTTTCTCTTTGATCAGTAAAAGGAATACCAGGACAAAATGGATCTAAGCAGTGATTCTGGGTTTCCAGCTTGGCTCTGGGGATGGGGACACAGGGGTATGTTCCCACACAGGAGACCAAGAAGAAAGATCCTTGGTTTTATGAACAACCTGTGTCCTGGAAGAATTAGGTAAAAATTTATGTGCAAATCCACATGCCCTTTAAAGAAAGCTGAGATGTTTTTCTCTGCAAAGCCAAGGCTTCCTGGTGAATCTTCACCCTGTGGACTGGTCCCCTTGGGAAGCCCGTACATATAAGGGTTTGCTAAAAGCAAGACAGACTAGAATAACTTGCTGTCGAGTCAGTGACTTATGTGTACTGGGCATCTGTGTGCAGCTGTGATGGGATAAGGACAAATGCACAAATCTCAGCCCTGTGGATTGTATAGAATGAGTTGTAAGCGAGGCTGGAAATTACAATGTAAAAATATACAGACTCTTTCCTCCCCCCACCCCGCCCTCCCTGCATAAGATGAATATAACCTCCTCCCAACACTTCCTCAGTGAATAAAGATGGAGGCCAGCAGGGAAAGCAGTGGTTTGGGTCTTCCTGGATTTAAATGTCTGCAAATTAGAGCTGGGCTTTCAACAAGTCAGGGCAGTGTATAGTGGACCGGGGAGGGTAGGGGAGTCAGAAAGGGGCTGAAGGCCAGGAGCCTGGCCTGGCTGTAGCAGAGACAGGTAGGGACAAAGTAGAGAAGTGGGGAAAGATCGAGAAGTCAAGAGCAAATGGCACAGATTTCGGGATGGACCCAAGGAACCTTGTTCCACAAAGGGCTGGGGCTTCTCTCCGGATCACTCAGGCCCTGTCAGTCCTTAATCCCAAACTGGTGCTCATGAATGAATGGAAAAATCAACCATTAGAGACCATGCTAGGCCTTGCCAAAGGCTGTGGTTGGACATTTTACTTAATTCTAGAAACAGGAGAGGCAAAGATGAGAAGGTACGTTCTTGTGGACATTTCAGCTGCAGGGTAATGGACCTGGCTGCCCCTTCCCTTCCTTGTATCCTCTTGGCACAAAGGAACATGACAAAGACAGGAGCCTGTGGACTCAAGAAACCCTGATTGGGTTTCAGGCACTCAGTAGGCTGCTGGGCAGAGCCAAGGCAGGTGCAAGTCCAGGCCCAGGACTGGGACGCAGAGTGTTGTGTTGGGATGGGGAGGTGTCCATTGACAAGCGCCATCCCCAGCAACCCCAGAGTGGCTCGGGCTTGGGCAAACATGTACAAAATGCCTCCAAGACACACACACATGTTAAGCCAAGAGCCATAGATGTCCCCAGAAGAGCAGTGTCCACTTAGGAGCAGCCCAAGTCAGGGTCTTTAGTCCTCAGATCCCAGACAGCTGGGAGTGTTAGAAAGGCAATCCAAGAGGGACCTCTGGAAAACACAGGGGTCTCCCCTGGCCAGGCTCCTGGGAAGCATGACTGGTCTCATCATTCTTCCCAGTTTGGAAGCAGGTTTGGCCCCCAGAGCATGAACCAGTCTGGGAGCGACCCAAGGTGGGGAAGAGATCCCCATAGGTCTGTTTGGATTTTGAGAGGAAGGTCAGGTAGCGTTTCTGAAGTTCCAGTTCCTCTCTTTGGCTCTCTAGGAGGGAGATGCCTGGATAGGTAGCAGCTACAAGAAAACTAAGGCCCAGGCAGTGCCCAGGAAATACACAGGGGCTATGGACTACCCTGAGCTTCCTGTTCATTGCCCAGATGCCCCTGCTATTGCTCTGCTTGGGGACAGATTTCCATTTTGTACCAGGTCATGTCCAGGGAGTCAGGGCTTTGAAAATATGAGCAAATGACACAGAGGCTCTCCTCTCCCATAACTCTGCATGCCCAGCCTGCTCCTGGCATCCTTCCTGCAGAACGCTGGTGGTTTCCCCAACACGGTCAGGAAGAGTCACCAGCCCAGGCTGGGAGCAAGAGGAGAGAGGGAAGGTGGGCCCTGAGGGAACACACACAGGTGAGAACAAAGGCTCCCAATGGGGAAGCCACTTGAGGACCCTGCACCAGGCTAGAGTGGAGAAGGTAGAACCTTAACAAATACCCTCCCTTTGTGTTCCCCCAACTGGACTCCATAAGGGTGAAAAGCAAACGTGTAATCATATGTACAGCCACAGAACCCAGCATGGACATATTCCAAGGACCCACATCCACCAAGGCGGGGGGATAAACTTCACTGGTGTGGGTAGCAGAGAAGAAGGAAGAAAAGGAATGTCCTGGAACTCCCTGCCCAGAGTCCGACTTTCAGGGGGTGCCCTGAGTGACGGTGAGCTCTAAGGAGCCCCCAGAAGTCATCTTGGTTTTCCGAATGGCAAGGAGATGGGAGCAGTGAGGCAAAACTAGGGGAATAGGTCCCCCAGAGAGACCCAGAACTCAAAAGACGTTCTAACTTTCCTACTGTACTTCGGAGCCCTATGCAAAGGTGCCACACACCACTACAGGTTTGGGTTGGGGTGTCTGAAAGCACAGATTTCTAAAGGAACAAGCCTAGCTACCCACAGCCTTCCCTACTCAGTCTTGGATCAGTAGACTTGACTAAGCTGGCGTTTGGCTCTGTACCCCCCTCTTACCTTCCCAGATTGCACAGCTGGAACCCACCACGCAGACACAGAGCAACTGAGGGGTGCCCCATCACTGGGTCATTCTGGCTCCTGCTTGTCAAGGTGAAACGAGTGTGAACAGTGTCATACACACAGACACACACACACACAGCCCGGTCTGCGAGCCCGCCCATGTGGGGCCTCCTGTCCTAGTCCCATGGCCCAAAGGCACCACGTGCAGCCAGCAGTGCTCCCATTTGTGCTGTTCCCCAGGCCACGCTGATCAATACTGCATCACCCTGGCTGGTCCGGTTCAGTCCTAGCTCGGGGGTCCCCAACCCTGCCTGAGGAAAAGAGCGCAAGTCTGAGGTGCAGGGAGGCTGCCGAGCAGTCGTCCAGTGCTCCCAGGTTGGTCAGGGTCAGTGCCCTCTGATGCTGAGTCTCTGGCCTCCGGAGCTGGCAGAGGACAGAGCAGGGAGGGACAGGTGACGGGAGCCCAGGTCCAAAGGCTCCAAAGGGAGCCTCAGAGTCCAAAGGTCACAGCCTGGAGTGGGGAGAGAAGGGAGAGAGTGGTGAGACGTCACAAGGACATGATGATGTCATCCGTTGTGAATGAACATCCTCTCAGAGGGCCAGGTGGCTTGAGATGAACTGCTCCTGTCTTCTGCAAGAAGAAGTGGAAGAGATTTCTGCTGAGGTCTTACTATGTGCTGGGTTCTGTGCCAAGTACCACACATACCTGATCTCATTGAAGCCTGAGACGAGCCTGCAATATAGGCTATGAATATTTTCACATATGAAAGTAATCAGAGATGAACTTCTATGATGAAATCATACAATTTCACAGATGAAAACCCTGAGGCTTAGAGAGGTTAGGTGTTTTGCCCAAGGGCACACTGCCAGGAAGCAGTGGGTCAGGATTTGAACCCAGAACTTTTCCCACTTGGGCAAGGACCAGGAGTGGTCAGTCAACCAGTGTATGGGGTTGGGATGAAGCTCTGTAACAGCTACAGATGCAGGAAGACGGGGTGGGACTGGGACCCACACCACAGCCTCTTGCTATGAGCAGACTTTGATGTCCGCAGCCAGAGGAACTCATTTATTTTGTTCAGCACTGTATTCTCACTCTTAAAACAGTGTCTAGCACATAAAAGATGCTCAGCACACATGGGCTGAATAAAAAAAAAAAACAAAAACGAATGAATGGAAGAGGGAATGAATGGAAAATTCCATTGAACCTAACATCCCATTCTGCTAGACCACAAGTTTCTGGTCCTCTGTTTTTTTTTTTTCAGCCCAACTGCACAGTAAAATATATAAAGCGAAGCCTCCTGCCTCCTTCAGTTGAACTCCTACCCTCTCTTCTCTGGCCCCTAGGAGAGCAGAGGTCACTGGGTTGTAACCCTAGAGTTTTATAACACCAGGCACTGCTGGGTCCTGCCTGGAGCTCCAACACTAATTCTCTAACTTGCCAGCACTCCTTTAGCTGGGCAGAGTTTTTGCTTGTTAAAGCTTCCTTCTGTCTGTTTTCATATCCAATGCATTGTAAAACCTGCCAGGCTACCAGAATAGGGCTCATTCTCCTTCCAGGCAGACGATGGCAGCTGAGTACCTGCTACAGTGAGTACCTGCTATGTGAGAGACACCTGCTAACCAGGTGCTCTACCCGTGGCCACATGGGACAGAACTTCTGCTAGAGCAGTTTCACTGCCGTCACCTTTCAGAGCACAAAACTGCAGCTCAGAGAGGCCAAGTGATGGGCCCAAGGCCACACAGCTATCACACAGTGGAGTGGAAATCCCAATCTACATTGGTCTGTAGAATTTATGCTCCTTCCACTGGTCTGGGGAAAGGATAAGCCCCTGGGGGAAGAAGAGATTCCACCCTCCAGGGTCAGCAAGCTCAAATGGCAGGGGATGGGAAACCATCATTCTCAGCAGACTGACACAATTACAGAAAATCAAACACCGCATGTTCTCACTCATAGGCGGCTGTTGAACAATGAGAACACATGGACACGGGCCGGGGGGGAGCATCACACACTGAGGTCTCTGGGGGGGAATAGGGAAGGGACAGCAGGGGGTAGGGAGGTTGGGGAGGGATAACATGGGGATAAATGCCAGATATAGGTGACGGGGGGATGGAGGCAGCAAACCACATTGCCATGTATGTACCTATGCAACAATCCTGCATGTTCTGCACATGTACCCCAGAAACGAAAGTACAATAAAAAAAAAGAACAAACAATTATAAACCACCAAAAAAAAAAAAAAAAAAAAGGCAAGGGAAGGGAGTAAAAAAGAGCCTCCTAATGTCCACAGCCCCCGGGGACATTGGCTCTTCAAGACGCTGCCTTGAGGATCTTCATGGGAAGACTGACAATGGCTATGGCACACCACGCACACAGGTGGGGTATCTGTATGTGTGGGTACTGTTTTGCAAGTGTGTATATACACGTCTTCATGTACCATACAATGGGACTGTGTACCTGTGTATATGCCTGAGTCTGCCTACATACGCAGCCTTCGGTGAAGGAGTGTGTGTTCATGGAACGTTCTTGGGTGTGGATGTGTGTGTGTATATAGATCTGAGTGCAGCTGTGTGTGGATGAATTTGTATAGAGGTGTGTTTTTAGGTACTGCTCCTGTGTCTGCATGAATGTGAGTACTTGAGAGTGTCTGTATGAGTGTGTACAACCATGTACACCTGGGAGCAACTGGCAGAGCCATGGGGAGCCCTCAGTAGCCTCATCTGGGCCTATCTCCCTCTTACCTTCTAGAGAGCTTAGTCATGGAAGCTGGGGCTGGCGAGCAAGGTCCCAGAAAGAGATGCCACACTCATTATCTCAGATAGAACTACCCATCTCCAGCCAGAAACAAGGGGGAGGAGCATGGTCTGGAGCCTCTTATGAGGAAGCCAGAGAGATACTTCTGCTAAGAATCTGAGAGCCTTTCCTGCTCTAGTGTTCATGCAACAGAAAATGCTGGAAGCTGTGATCTGCCATGACAGGGGCAAGCTGCTGGCTCAGAAGGAAGAGTTCCTGAAAGCAGGGCCTCGTGGAAGATCACTCTGAATACCTGCCATAGGGGGGCTTGGTGGGTATTCAGACATCAGCTCACTGCATGATGCTCAGACTCATTGGGGCATCAATCTTCATCAGGAAGATATAAGCAATGAGAAACCCAGGGTAGCTGCTGAAACCAAGACCCCGTGGACAGACTCCAGGACCCAAACCCCAAAACAGACTCCATTGAACAGAAACCTAGCAGTGAACGTGGTTCCTGAAGGGTAGGCACATGGATAGGAGCTTGTTGGGGGAGGAGTTAAAAAGGTACAGAGAGGATCAAAAAGGTAACAAAGGCCAGAGGACAAGGCAGTGGGGAGAGATGCTAAGGGAGAAAACCTACTCTGCAGACTTCCAGAAATGTCCAGGGTGAGATAGGCGGCGGTTTCGCTTTGGCAGTTTCTCCAGCATGTCCATGAGCTTGGTGAAGGTAGGTCTCTCTTCTTGTTCAAAGGCCCAGCAGAAGAGAAGAATGTCCTAAAAAAAAGCAATGTGTGGTAATTACACATAAATGGTGACTTCTTGATTACTCTTTGGTATCTCATTGGGTCTGCCCATTTGTCCACTCATCTGCCCCATTTTTATATTCCTCCACCATCCATCCACCCGTCCATCCATCCATCCATCCATCCATCCATCCATCCATCCATCCATCCATCCATCCATCCACCCGTCTGTCAGTCCATCCATCCATCCATCCATCCATCCATCCATCCTTTTTCCCATCTACTTTCTGAGCCCAAATAACAACTAGGTAAGCTCTATTGCAGAAGTTCTGGGATCAGTAATACTCCCCAAAGAGTTTCTTGACATTTTCTTAGGAGGGATAAAAGGGAATCCTGGGGCATCCATCCATATCTCAATACTATAAGAGGCCTTCAAAGTCGGAGGAGAAAAGTTACTTTTAGTAAGCTCTTCATCATCTAGGTGCAGGTAATTCTTAAAAACATACAAGGTAATTACTCCTTCTCTGGCTTATCTGTCTTCTGATCAAAAGAGGATTCTACCTGCTGTTTTAGAGGAAGATTATTAATATTAATATATACCCAGGCTTCTCTGTTTCTATATGTCTTGTTCTGAGTTAGATAATGCCTTAAAATTATCATGTAGATGTAAATAAAATTAGAGCATTAATATTTGTGATGTTTTAATTAATATCTTTAAAAAATACCAGAAAAAGAGGGATATATATTGGTTCTACCTAACTCAGCAATCCATGGTTAGGAAAAACCTGACCACGTGTTACTGTGCCCCTGGTGGCAGGTACCTGAAATTGCAGGCGCAGTGCAGCAACCTTGCCTTCTAAGCTTCCTACTTCTATCTGACAAGGTTGAAATGCATATTTTTTTGGTCGCCCTATGGGAAGGCATTTGTAACCTTAACACGGAGTAAAAAGAAGGCCCATGACTATGTTTGTGTCTCCCTTCATCTCCCAGGTCTGGCCCTATCTTGGGACTTACCGAGATTTCTTTTCCCATGCCGATCTGGCTGAGGTTGGGTTTCATGCCTGTGCCCATTTGCCAGATTATTGCCTCTGCTGGTTGGGTCTTGAAAGGCCACTCTCTGGCGTGGAGTTCATACCAGATTGTGCTGTTGGCAGACGTTGTTAAAGTGGTGTTGGCGTGGTGTGTCACTTGCATCCCTGTACCCACACTCACCCAGCCTGCCTCCTGGCACCCATTCTTCTCCCCAGTTTCTTCCTCATGGGGTTGGTATTTTGCCATGTGGGACACACCTAAGCTTTCTTAATGTCTTAGAAGTCATGTTGATCTCAGGATATCTTCTAATGAATAGTTAAATAGAATGTGGTTAGGATCTCTGTCCCTGATTCTACTTGCAATGAATCTAGGATATCATCACAGACATAATTAGGGATACAAAAATTTATCTATAATGATATTCTCTAAAGCATTATATATAATATTGAAAATGGTAGGAATAACACAATTGTCCAATAACAGGAATTATTAGATGTATTATGGTAAATCCATAAAATAAAATGAAATGCTGTATTATTGTTAAAATATTTCAAAGAAATTTTGCTGACATAAAAATGCTCAATATATAATCTTAAAGAGCAGGATATGAGACTGTATGTAAGGTTAGATATTGCTCTTTTTAAAACCACTATAGAGGTATGAACAAGAGAATGCAGTAAAGCATAGCAAAATGTTAACAATAACTCTTGGTGACAGATTAGGATTTTTTTCTTTTATACTTTTTTTTTTTTTCCCTAAATATAAACCATCCTGCGGAATGGTGGAAAGAAAAAAGAGATTTGAGAGTGACTTGGGTTCACATGGACTTGGGTTCAAGTCCTGATTCTGTTTATACTAGTACTATAATAGGGTAGGTTTCCTGGGTAGGTCACTTCACTTCTCTGAGTGCAAGTTTTCTTACCTGATAAATGAGAATAATGATAACACTGCAGCACAAGGATGCTTATTGGGACTGTGAATGCCAGATCAACTCCAGGCTAGGATTATTCTAGATATTTACTACATTATCTTCTGTTTCATAAATCATGACATTGCAATTAATGGAGAAAGGACTGCTCCAATGAGTAGCATGTGCCATGGATGGGGTGACGAGTCAGGCAGTGCGTAAGTGTTGCTGTGAAGTGTGAACAGCAGTGAGGACTCCAGTGGATGAAACAGGATGCTGGGGTGTCACTGAGCTCTACCATGGGGACAGGTGTCAATGCTTTCAGCACAAGATTCCCCAACTTTTCTTTCTCTTGTTTTTTTTTTGAGATGGAGTTTCGCTCTTGTTACCCAGGCTGGAGTGCAATGGCATGATCTCGGCTCACCGCAACCTCCGCCTCCTGGGTTCAGGCAATTCTCCTGCCTCAGCCTCCCGAGTAGCTGGGATTACAGGCAGGCACCACCATGCCCAACTAATTTTTTGTATTTTTAGTAGAGATGGGGTTTCACCTTGTTGACCAGGATAGTCTCGATCTCTTGACCTTGTGATCCACCCGCCTCGGCCTCCCAAAGTGCCGGGATTACAGGCTTGAGCCACTGCACCCGGCCAAGATTCCCCAACTTAAGAAATATCTGAAACAATCCTAGAAAGGGATCTTTTCTCCACTCTAAGATAATTTATGTAAGTTTGCTTTAAAGAACACAAATCACTCTGCTGTCCTTTTCACTGATCAGAGCACTGTGTCAAATCAGCTATTACTAGGGTTGTACTTCTTAGTTACATCTTCCTTCTACCTGCCAACCTCATACCTCTGGGATGGGGAACGGGTGGTGGTGCTCAAGTGTTGGGATGTCAAATTAGATGGTCAGAAAGCTATCAAGAGAAGGTGCTAGAAGATTATAGTTATCACAATAAATAATAATGCTTATTGAGTTTTTACTCTGCACTAGACGCTATTCTAAGTTTTTTGCTAAGGGATATCTACTAAGCATGTATTTTTATTCTGATGCTTTGACTACTCGGGGCTTTGCAGAACCTGGAGGGTCTTCCCCTTCCAGGAACAGCCAATTCCTGGTGACAGTAAAGGGCTCACCTGTGAGCACACCTTTCCACAGGCAAACCAAATAATCCAGGGCTCATACTTACATTACCAACTACGTCTTTAATTGGGCTTTCAAGCCCTGGGCCAATATTCCCCAGTTCTATAGGCCAGAGCCCACCGAAATTATTCAAACAAGCGAATCCTAAACCTTCTTACCCTGCCTCCCCTGCTCCTTCCCAAGGAAACCGCAATAAAGGCTCTTCCCAATGTTTTCCAACCATTTCCTCTGCCTCCAGACCCACCCTGGTGCTGCCCCCTGTGGACATTGCATGGTGTGGCATGCCGCCCTCTAGAACTGTGAGTAACAAACCATCTTTTCAATGGCAACTGTCTCCTGATCTGTTGGCCTCATGCTACCTGAATAATAACAAACCTTACACTTTAAAACAGGAGGCATTATTATTAACATTATCCCCCTTTCATGGATGAGGAAAATGAGGTCCAAAAAGGTTAAGTGTCTTTCCCAAGATAATACAACAAACAAGAAGGGCAGCCAGAAGTTGAACTTGGTCCATCTGACTCCAGGATTGTACCACTGGCCAACGTGCTATTCTAGGAAGCTTAGACTCCATCCTATTTAAGAGTCCTTTGTCATCAGGAAAGTGCATAATTTGGGAGGTGCAAGCTCGTAGCTAGTGATTGGAGTCTGGTGAAGGAGGCATAAACAGACTCATCCACCACTCATGTGAAAGGGGGAAGGGTGTTTTGAGGAGCTCTTCCCTGTGCTGGGTACCTTACAAATGTTTTCTCACTCAATTCTTAGAACACCTCAATGGGTTTATTATCCTTGATTTGCAGTTGAGAGAAATAGTGCTTTGAGTGGTGAAATAAATCCCAAACCCATCAGGGCTCCATGGTTAAAAGCTCCAACTCTAGAGTACAGGATATTCCAGGTGAATCTCAGCACCATCATGAGTCACTGTCAGGCATGTCACTGAGCCATTTGATGCCTCAGTTTTCTCATCTGCCAATTGGGGGCAACATGGTATCTGCTTCAAAGGGTGCTTGTAAAAATTCTGTGACACAGTGCACATAAAAGGCTTAACATAGTGCTCAATACTCTTTAAAAAGTTCATTTTTGTTCTAAGTCATTTCTGAGCACAAGGTTCCCAAGCAACAGGATGCATCTAATTGGCAGGAAAACCAGAGTGCTGGGTCCTTCGGAATTCAGCAGTGTCAGAAATAAAAGCCTCATTAAAACTTCCTTTTAAATCCAACTTTCAAGAGAAACTCACTTTAAGAAAAAATAATTGCTGAAGATGAAAACTCCAGCAGAAAACCAATTACACTGGTACATTTTGTTAATCACATTTTTTTCTTTTGCTAAATTTGCACTAAACTATACCAACTTAATTATTACAATTTGGTTTCAGATAACAATATCTAACTAGATAAAGACTTGGGCATAAACTAATCAGGCCAACTGACATCCTCTAAAGACGCCCAAGCAACAGATGTTGAGAATTCTGATCTTCCGGAAAACGTCTCCTTGGGGTTTTTCAGTGAAGACTCAGTGGGGTCCCTTATCCAAGGATGAGTGTCTCTCTAACATCTCTCAGTGGTGCTAAGTCTAATTGCACTCATCTACAGGCCTCCAACTTTCCCAAACAGCTTCCCCAGTGTTTTCTCCCCAGCCCTTGCAACCACCCTGTGGACAAGGTTAGACAAGGATTTGCATGGCCATGGGAGCCTAGAAGCTTTTCTGGCTGTACCTTCTCAGGGCACTCTGCCCTGCATCCTGGCGCTGTGTCCTGGGTCCTTCTTCTTCTTCTGTACTTCCAAAGACTCCTCATTCTGTCTGTGGCTGCAGTTACCTATTTGTTGACAAATCCTAAACTATTCTTCTCTGTACTAGATGTGTAGAGGCAGCTGTGTTTTGGTGGTTCCACTTGTCATCTCCAAGACAGTTCCAACTCACTGTGTCCAAACCTGACCTCTTTGCCTTTCCGGCACACCCCAGCCCTGCTGCACCTTCGTGGTCTCCACCTTAGTGGATGATGCCTGGTTACTTGAGGCAGCTATGTAAGCACCACCCACATTCAATTCAAATGATCAAACTCTATTGCTTCCACCTCCTATGTGTGCTTCTGATGTCCAGTCTCAGCTTTCATACACACAGGCTCCAATTCAGTGAAGGCTGCCAGCATGTCCCTGTGTATTGGACACCCAGCCTTCATCTGCTCTTTCTTCATTTCATTCTCTACACAGTAGCCAGAGTGATTTGATTGATCTAAAACTCAAATTGGGATTATGTCACTCCCCCATCTCCAGAGCTTAATAACCATCAATGGCTCCTTCAGTCCCTGCAGGATTGACCATGCTTCCCTTTCTAGTCTCTTATCTCACCACACCCAGCCTAATTTTTCTTCTGACTCTTCATTCATCAGCTCCCTTTCCTCTACCAACCCTTCTATATATTCTTTCATGTGGGAAAAGTGTTCTTTTTTATTTTTGCACCTTTTTGCACATTCTTTTGATCTGGAATGCCTCACCCTGCCCTTGTACTCAACCTTAAACTTAGGCTCAGGATTATCATCTCCTGGGAGCCCTCCCTGCCCTCTCAGATTGGATTTTATTCCTTTTTAATTCCCACAGTCCTGTGTTTATTCTCAGAATAGCATTTATCATACTTTGCTAAAGTTGGATGTTTCTTTATCTGCCTTCCACTAGAAAGTGAGAGTAGGGGCTTCTCATGGTTTTAAAAATGTTCATAAATTCTTTGATACTCCATTATGTACAAGATAGAGCTTAATTCTCTTCCCCTTAGGTATGGACTAGATTTAGCAATTTGCTTTTAACAAACAGAATAAGATAGAAGTGATGCTAAGTACATTTCTGAGACTAGATCATTGACAATGAGGCTTTTAGCCGCCATGTTGTGAGGTCATTTAAGCAGCCTATACAAAGGCCCAGGGGTTGAGGAAGTGAGACCTCAACCAACAGCCACGTGAGTGGGCCACCATGGAAATGTATCTCCAGCCCACTGAGCCTACAGATGAGACCACAGCCCTAGCCAACATCTTGACTGCAACTTCATAAAAGCCCACTCAGAACCACTCAGCTAAGCCACTCCCAAATTCCTGACCACAGAAAGTCGATATAAAAATGTTTTAAGTGGCTAAGTTTTTGGGTAATTTGTTATGTAGTAATAACTGATACAAGACTGAATCTTGTATCCCCTGCATCTGCTACCATACTAGCACATAGCAGGCAGTCAACAAACAGCTATTGAATACGTATATGAGTTGGGTAACTTGTTACATCCACATAATCCATTAGAAACCAGGCACACAGGTTTGTTAGGGTCATTCTTTCTACTATATCCTCAGATTCCTCCATTCTCACCCAAAAATCCAGCCACCTTGGCCCTGTAGACAGGTACACCCTGGCCCTTCCAAAAGCATTGAAAGACTTGAAAAGTGCTCCTCTGCCCAGGCTGTGGCTCTCAATGGCCAGGGCAGGGCCCACTTACCCAAGGGCAAAGACATCAGAGTGTTTGGAGAAGGGGAGCTTATCCTCCTCTGTGTCAGGGGACAGCTGGCGGATGATCTCCGGTGCCAGGTGGCATAGCCAACCATTCTGGATGCGCAGTTTGTCCTCCCGCCTGGAGAAGCAAAGCACAGGATGAGTCTGTTTCATAGCCCAGGGAGGACCAGTCCCCGTGGCACTGGCCCCACGTCCCTGGAGCCATCTCTGCTGCCCTTCTTGCTTCCCCCATTGACTACTGCCTGACCATCTACTGGAGTCTGAGACCCAGTAGGAGGTACAGGGAAGACTGCTCTAAAGAAACACTCAGGACCCAAACCATCATCAAATTCCATTGCCTCTGAGGCACCCACCTTCTTGCCCATCTTCATTCAATGACATTGTGAATTCTTGTTATTCATGGCAATTATGTTCTATAAAGTCACTGGAACATGGAATTAGCAGAACACTGAATCATTGCTTCTGGGGAAATAGTACACACGCACACATCCCTCATATAGTTTATACTTTTAACTCCTAAAAACAACTTATCCTAAGAGATTCTGTTTTATTTTACATTATAGACTAAGGGATTCAGAAGTGTTAAGTGACTTGTCTGAGGCAGCCCTACTAACAGGTGCCAGAGTTGGGATTCAAATCTCATCCAACTGGCCCTGGAGCTACAGCTTCTTATGCTACTCAGTGCTGCCCACTCTGTCTCAACCTCCATCCTCCAGAGTTCTCTGTATGAGGCTGCAACAATGAGGCCGAGCATCCTCTTGTTTGACCTAAGCCGGGTACATGTGCATCAGCAACTCGAAGTTTTCCCCACTCTGCATGTCCCTGAATAACTGTGAAAGTGCTGTGAGTGTTGATCTGGGGTATTACAAATACATTTCAGTGAATCCACAAGTAATAATAATCCACTGTGTTTTGCCATCACCTATGATGCCTAGGTTTTGTGCTTGGCATGGAACAAGACCAACAAGGTCCCTTCCCTCCTGGAGCTTGCACTTTGGTAGGGAAAGGAGACAACAAATGAATTCAATAAGTAGGAAAAACTAAAGATCATGATAAGCATTGTCCAAATAATTACAAGACAATGTATCTAAGATAGGACAGATCTTATTGCAGGTAAACTGTGAGCTAAGATCTACCTGACATAAAGCATCCAGCTACATGAAAAAGGAGAATATTCTAGGCAGAAGGGGAAGCTAGGACAAACGTCCAACATTGGCCCCATTCAGGGTGTTCCAGAACCCTAAAGAACACCAGTGTAACTGGAACACATCATCCCGTCCTATGTATCAGTGTATATAACCAACTCCTTGCTGATGGGCCTTGGGCGGGCAGTTCCCTTTCACCATTATGAACAATGCTTCCATGAACATCTTTGGGTAGATACTGGGAATATCTCCCTTCACCCACATTAACTTATTCCTTAGGATAAATTCTTAGATGTGGAAGGAGGCTGGCTCCCTTCTTGCACTGGAAGTCCTTAGCAAGGCAAAGCTTTCCATCTGGGACTGAGATCTAAGCAGACCTCCTGTGAGATCTTCACTGACTCAAGACTCCTAGGAACTGGCTCATTAACACGGGGGAAGTGAGCAGTCGTGGGGAGAGGGGGTACATATCTTGAAGCATCAAAACTGAAGTCATGCAGGATGACAGCCTCCAGCATGAAGGTCTTTGTGGGGACCTGGGGCTGGCTAGATTCTTCCAGGGAAGGTTTCTGAGATGTATAAGATGTGACATGCTGCTCCTTCAAACGTACTCATTCATATCCCATAATCATGATTGTTGCCATGTCTAAACACCTTTAAGAGCAGCACTGTGCAATAGAACTTGCCATTATGACAGAAATTTCCTTTATACGGTCCATGTGTCAGCCACTAACCACTGTGACTATTGAGCACTTGAAATGGGGCTTACAACTGAAGAACTGAATGTTTATTATTATTTTTTTATTTTAGAGACAGGGTCTGCTGAGACAGCCTGTCACCCGAGCTGAAGTGCAGAGGCAAGATCATAGCTCACCGCAGCCTTGAGCCCCTGGGCTCAAGCGATCCTCCCATCTTCAGCCTATGAAGTGGCTGGGATTACTGGCATGAGCAACTGTACCCTGCTAATTTTGTTTTATTTTTTGTAAAGATGTGGTCTTGCTCTATAATCTTGCTATGTTGCCCAGGCTGGATTCAAACTCCCAGCCTCAAGGGATACTCCAGTCTCAGCCTCCCAAAGCACTGAGATTATAGGCACGAGCCACTGCTCCCAGCCCTTAACTTTTCATTTTAATTAAAGTTAAATTTATGTAGCCACATCTGGCTAGTGGCCACCAAATTGAGTAACACTGTTCTAGATTATTATAGTCTAAGAAATGCATTTTTAACTTAAATTTATTTGAATAGGTCACTCTTTAGTGTGGCCATAAATGGAGACTAGTGATTTTCTAATACACATTAAAATTAAGATAGAAAATGTTTGTTCAAGACACTTTGCAAAAGAAGACATCGATGAGGCCAAGAAACATATGAAAAAAGCTCATCATCACTGGTCATTAGAGAAATGCAAATCAAAACCACATTGAGATACCATCTCACACCAGTTAGAATGATGATCATTAAAAATCTGGAGACAACAGATGCTGGAGAGGATGTAGAGAAATAGGAACACTTTTACACTGTTAGTGAGATTGTATATTAGTTCAACCATTGAGGAAGACAGTGTGGTGATTCCTCAAGGACCTAGAAACAGAAATACCATTTGACCCAGCAATTCCATTACTGGGTATATACCCAAAGAATTATATATTGTTCTATTATAAAGACACATGCACACGTATGTTGATTACGGCACTCTTTACAATAGCAAAGACCTGGAACCAACCCAAGTGTCCATCATCAATAGACTGGATAAAGAAAAGTGGCACATATACACCATGGAATACTACACAGCCATAAAAAACGATGAGTTCGTGTCCTTTATAGGGACGTGGATGAATCTGGAAACCATCATTCTTAGCAAACTGATACAAGAACAGAAAACCAAACACCGTATGTCATCATTCATAGGCAGGTGTTGAACAATTAGAACACGTGGACACAGGGAGGGGTGCATCACACACTGCAGTCAGTGGTGGGGGCTAGGGGAGGGACAGTGGGGGGTAGGGAGGGTGGGAAGGGACAATGAGGGGAGAAATACCAGATATAGGTGATGGGGGACGGTGAAGGCAGCAAACCACCTTGCTATGTATGTACCTATGCAACAATCCTGCATGATCTGCACATGTACCCCAGAACCTAAATTACAATGTTTTTAAAAAGCCATAAAAAAAAGAAAATGTTTGTTCATGTCCTCCCCCAAATCAACTTGCAGATTGTACCTTTAGAAACACTAGGTGGAGGAAAGATCCCTGAATGAGGCTCCAAGAGTTTGTGGCTCAGGGTTCCAGTGCTGCAGTGACATTCACTAGCTGGGTAGGGGTTGGATGTGTCCCATACATGCAGTTCTTTAAGATCTCTTTCATTCCCTCTCCACCTTGCACATCAAGGTAGCATTCATTTGAATATACTCAACTTTTATTAGAACCCAAAATAGGGACTGTAGGAAAGGAAGCAAAGCTGGGTCACTGCTGCAATCACAGCTCTTAATTGCATTTGGATGGTGGCTTACCAAAGGTATCCCACCTGGGACACTAGCCACCCATCCACCTCCTGCATACCCAGGCTAGAGGCAGATGGCTGTGCATGCAACAGAAAGCAATGTGGCCAGGCAGACACCATTAAATTTGTTCTAATTTAGGATTTCTCAGCCTTGGCACTATTGACATTTGGGTCCGGGCACTCTTTGTTGATTTGGGTGGGGGTGTCCTGGGCATTTAGCAGCATCCTTGGTCTCTACTCACTAGATGCCATTAGCACCCACTCTTCCCCCATCATGACAACTAAAAATGTCTTCAGGCATCATTAAATGTCCCCTGGAGGGGAAAAAATCGCCCTGGTTGAGAATTGTTCTAATTTATACAAAATAAGGAAATGGTCCAAATATCAGTCTGTCAGCATTAATAACACATGACTTGCTCCTACATTCTACACAAAAGACATCATACAACACGTCCTGTGCCGGGAACTACTACTCAAACTCACTAGCAAACTCTTGAGTCAGCAGAGTTGAATGAGCTCTTGTTTCTAGAATCAGGGATACCCACAGAGGTTGAAGGCTCTATCTGTTGCTTACTAGCTATGGAACCTTGAGCAGACCCAAATTTCTCTTTTCCCTTCTATAAAATGGGCACATTAATTTTTACTTCACAGAGCTGTTGCAAGGATTAAAATGAGAGACTGCATGGCACAGAACTGTGTCAGCTGCCAGAGCCACACAATCACTGGACGTAATTTGTGTGTGTGTGTGTGTGCTTGTGTGTGTGTGTGTGCGTGTGCGCGAGTGCGTGTGTTATCTTGAGGACTCAGAAGTGCAGTTGAGACTAGAGCCCACAGTAGAAATGTCGTCCATGAAGGTTTTTGGCATAGGCCAGCCAGCATTCTCCTGCAATGGCTGGGCCATTGGGGGTTGGTTGGGTTGGGGTACTCCTGCCAAAGGAAAGCTTCTCTGCTCCCATCTTTTGGCAAACGCCCTGCCACCTCTTCCTCACGGGGTCAGCAGATGACTGGCATTTTGGGGCCAGGGCAGGAGGTGGAATGGTGGCCACGCAAGAGCCATCAGCCTGGGTGGGTGTGGTGGGGGCTGGGAGCCAGGCCTGGCACTGACACCCTGGGGTGTCCCGTTCCCATGGCGATGGGCCCGCTGGTGACAAACCCAAATCATCTTCATTGTGGTTACTATGATTAATAACAGGCTTTAGGAGGCTGGCGTGACTGTACTGGCATCTAAAATGATATCTTTTCTTGATGACAGTGGAACAGCTCTATGCTGGGGTCTATCTGGATGTGCAGAACAGACATCACTGGGCTGCCCATCCCTGCCTCAGGCTGGGGTGGGGGGTCTCCCTCTGCTGGGCACCAAGGGCTAGCTATACCCCAAGCTCTGACTGAGGGGAGGAGAGAAAGGCAGGTAACTCCTGCTGAGTGCCTACTTGTTGCCAGATTGCCCATCCTGCTTAGTCCTCATAAGCCCACAATCTGACTGCTATCATCCTGTTCTGTGGATAAGGAGACAAAGGCTCAAAATATTTAGGTAACCTGTCTAAAGGGACAGGGCTGAGAACTGTTTGAGAACGAGTCTTGAAAACCCCAGAAACTAGGCACCTCACCCCAATTCTACAAGAATTGCTGGAGAGAACTATTAAAAAGTAAAGCCTAGCTGGGCATGGTGGCACCCCTGTGAGCCCAACACCTTGGGAGGCTGAGGTGGGAGGATTTCTTGAGCCTGGGAGGTTGAGGCTGCAGTGAGCTGTGATTGCACTGCTGCGTTCCAGCCTGGGTGACAGAGCAAGAGATCCTGTCTCAAAGGAAAAAGAAACGAGCAAAACCCTAAACTAAGCCCATCATTTCTATCCCATTCAATCATTAAAACAGCCTTATGAGGTAGGTGCTATTAGTGCCTGCCCCTACTTCCATTTTACAGGTGAGGAAACTGAGGTTCAGGGAGCCAGGTCTGTGTTAAATACAAACAAGTTTCTGGAATCTAACTCAAGGTATTACAGACTGAATTGTGTCTCCCCCAAATTTATTATGTTGAACCCCTAGCCCCTAACCTGATTGTATTTAGAGGTAAAGCCTACAGGGAGGTGATTAAGGTTAAGTAAGGTCATAAGTCTGGGGCCCTAATCCAATAAGATCGGTGTCCTTATAAGAAGATGAAAGACATCAGAGACCTCTCTTTCTCTTTCAGGGTGCAGAGAAGAGGTCATATGAGGACACAGCAAGAAGGTGGCTGTCTACAAGCCGGGAAAAGAGCCCTCACTAGAAGCTAAATTTGCTAGCACCTTGATCTTGGACTTTCAGCCTCCAGAACTGTGAGAAAATAAATGTCTGTTGTTTAAGCCCCACGTGCACTCCCTAAATATGTATTGACTGGCTGAGTGAGTAACGAAAGAGGGAACTTCCAGGCCTGTCTCCTGAGAGTTGATCACCCCAGCTTCCTGCAGTGCCCAGAACCTGGCCAGCTCCCTTCTGTCTCCACTCCTATAATTCAGCCCCCAGGCTGTGGATCAGGGCCATAGATGCCCCTTATTCAAGGGGTGTCTCCTGGTTTCTGCTTGCTGCACTGGGGGGCTCTAGGCTGCAATGGGGCAGTTACTGGAGATACCTTTTCATAAACATGAGGGAGTAAACTGACCTGGACTGCTGCAGGGGACCTTGCAGATGCCCAGAACTATGATGGAGATATTCATAAATACTGAGGCAAATCTATTACCTGGGAACGGTTCCGGGATTCACAGGGCACCCCAGAATTCCACCTCCCTGTCATGGTTTGCAACATGCTTGCTTTGGTGGAACTCAGTTGCTACATAAGAAGTTTGGTTACCCTGAGACCGCCATGGTGTGAGGAAGCCCAATGTAGTCATGCAGAGAGGGTGCATGAAGAAAAAGCAGGGGGATGAGAGAACCCCATCAGCCCCCCACATGTTTCAGCCAGCCCAGTCCAGCTGTGTGAATGAGGAAGCCTTCAGTTTTCTCCAACTTCAGCCCTCATCTGATTGCACCTACAATCGACTCAGCTGAGCCCAGTCAACCCACAGAACCATGAGGGATGACAATAACTTATTTTAAGCCACTAAGTTTTGAGGTGACTCACTGCACAATAATATGTAACTGGAACAAGGATAAAAGCACAAGAAGTCATTGATGGCTCCTTGTGGGTGGCGGGGAAATGTGAACTTCTTGTCGGGAGATGTTGCTGAGGGCACTCCTGGGTTTGTGTTGGAGTCCTGGCTGGAGCAGGGGTGGGAGGGGCTGCTGTCTGGACAAGGAGACCAGAAGTCACCTTGTCCTTGACTTGGTTAAACTAACTTCCTGGTTGACACTGGGTCTCCACAAATGAGCTAAAGGAAGGGATGCCCAAGACATTCCATTCCATTTCTTTTTCTTCCTCTTCTCCTTGTGGCTTCAGAAAACTGAGTCTACAGGAATAAAATCAGAGGTCCTGTATCCCTTTCCTCTACCTTGGGGAGAAGCCACTCATGAGGAGACAGGGGGAGGTCTGGACATGCCACCAGGAGGGAAGAATGTCTTCTTTTTATAAAAGAGCCCAGAAACAAGTTAGAGAAAACTCCTACTGGGCCTCCCTTTGTGTTGATGGAAATACTTGGGTTCACAGTGAAGTCACCCACCATTGCTTCCTGGCAGTTCCCCTGGGATACTGGGAAACTGGGAAGGGCATGAGTTCCCTGCCAGTGATCCAGGAACTTAACTGCTGCTGGGGAGTCAGAGGGACGAAGGGATCGTACACAACCTTGCCCTCCTGGGCTTCTTAGGTTCCAACTTGAGGGACTCTCTCCAAGCATCTATTGATATATTTACACATTTACTGCCTACTTACTGCCTTATCTTAGGGACTATAGAGAGTTTTGCAGACTATGGTTAATCCTTCTTGGGTGGCATAAAATTGGATAAAGAAACTTCAGCTTCAGTGTGGTGCTCATCACACAAACACCTACATGAAGTTTTGTCAAATTTCAAATGGTCCAACTTATAATAGATTCAAGATATTGTAGAGCACAAATAAGATTCACTTTGTAGGGGTCCCTGGGGCATTCCTGAAAAAAAAAAATCAGTGCTTCTCAAAAGCAGCTGAAACCGAAGTAAAATGAGAGAAATCGCTGGGCTTTCTGGAAAGATGCACCATTCATTACAAAATGCAGGATTAGAAATGGAACATGCAGTGGTTTAAAATGAGAGCGAGCAAGAAGAGAGAGCGAGGAGAGAGAGAGAGAGAGCACACAGTCCATATTAAAAGTCACAAGGGTAGACTTTCTGAATTATGGGTTGTTTATTCGAGATCAAGCTATTTTTCCCGTGGCCATCTCAATGCAGCTTGCTCTAGGGTGAGTAGTGGCTGAGAGTTAATTACTTAACCACAGTTAATGTTTCTCCTGGGTGATACTGGGAGGTATATGCAAATCAATACTAATTACAACAACTCAGCAGCAGCTACCCTTTGTGGAGCTTTCGAGGTGCATCGGGCACCGCGGCTGCTTGATGCGTGCTGTCATTTTATCCTCACAAGAACTGACTGAGGAAGGCATCATCGCATCTACCACTTTTCTTGCAGACAAGGAAACTAAAGTTCAGAGAAGTTGTTCGGCTTGATGAATGTTGCACTTAATAAGTGGCAGAGCTGTGTCAGGCCATGGGTGCCTCTGACTTTAAACCCCTTGCTGTTAACTGTACTCTTACTGTAGTAAAATTAATGAATTCCTAAGAAAACTTTGAGCAAGGGCTCTCGGGTGATCTCATCTTCCAGGTGAATACTCAGGGTTAGAGGAGAGCCCTTCAGTTAAATTCAAGGGTAGGGGCTTTGAAAGATCTGGGGATGCTCTGTGTCCAATCACACACACTCAAAGACAAGACAGGTGAGCAAGGTCCTGGCCTCACCAGAGGGAAACAGAGCATCATCATCCTGCATCAGTAGAGCAGCTGACCCAGTCAGCTCAGCAACCTCAGGCCCAACCCTGAGTCTAGGTCACTGAAGCCATTTGGACTAACTTCCTACCTCCTGATCATCATCTCTCAGGAAGCTCTCTGCGCTCTCCCACCACCGCTCACCTGCCAGCCTGCAGCACTCCAGAAATGCTGAAGAGTCCAAAGTCTGTGATGACTACTTTGCCATTGTCATAGAAGACATTCTTTGACTTGAGGTCCTTGTGCAGGATTCCCTTGGCGTGGAGGTAACCCATGCCCTGTAAGAAACAAGGAAACAGGGAGTTGCCAGAGAAAAACCTAAGTGCTCACTGCCACCCTGGCTTGAGTTCACTTTCCTTGTCCTGAAGATTTGGCTCCCTAATGACACCACACTCAACAGTGGCAGGGCCTGGGGTCTGACTGTGGGTCTCGGAGGTGGGGTCGGGGAAGGCATGGCAAGTGGGAACAGGCAGGGCCCCCAAGACACAAATCCATCACCACTTGCAGAAAGGCCATTCCCCAATTGCTCATCTGATTCCTGAAGAAGAAACAAAAGAAGTCCCCAAGGAAAGGAATTCAACCAACCATTTTCATCTACTTCCCCTTTAAAGACTAACTCTTCTGCAAGACTAGATACTCAGACCACCTTAACCTACGCTGCTGCAGAAGGCACTGATTCCTAAAGAGATGTTTCAGAACTGCTCATCAAGAACACAAAGAAGAGTCTATTGGAGGTCTAGTTCAAGGGCGAACATCTCGGATCACGGTGGCTTCTTTGTCTTTGTCTTTGTGAGCAGTCGCATCTTTTATTTCTTCTTATAGCTCAGTCCTAACACTTCCAAATGAGAAATAAAAGCTTGAGTCCAAGTGACTAATAAGGCACCTGCCAGAAAACTCAGGATGTTCTTGTCTGTTTTAACCCAAAACAATACCCAACAATTTGCTGCTTCCCTAGCAGCAGTGGAGAGAGATCGTTTGCACTTATGGGAATTCAAGGACTCAAAGGAAGGTGGAGCCAACCAAACGGACTGAACAACTTAGATGTGACCTCCAGCCCCTGCCATGGTGATGAGACACCCGATGGAAACCAAACATCGGTGGATATTTCCTAAAGATCATATCGAGGCTGAATTCTTATACATGGCCTGGCATTTTTCAGGTCAACTTTAATCTCTTTTCAGTCCAGACTAATATTCTGAAATCCAGCCGTGAATCTTATGAGCCTGGGGTTGGGGGAGGCTTCTCTGGGGAGACTGGGTCCTTCTGAGATTTAGGTAAGAGACCTGAGAGCCGACAGTACCTTCACAATTTCTTGAGCAATCTGCCTGGTTTTGTTCACATCTAAGACGATTTTGGCATCCCTCACAACAGAATAGAGCGTCCGTCCCTTACAGAGGCTGAAAAACAAAAGGACAAGATAAATTAATGGCAGTTGTTCAGAAGAGGGTGACCCACGACAGTTACTACAAGTGACAAATGACTGAGTAGACACGTGGACACGCCACTATTGTGCTAATGAGATAATAAGTCTGGGACTGGACTTTAGATCTGGTTCTGGGACACAGATCTGGGAGGAAGTTCCTGCAGATTCTTTAGAAACTTGGCCAACATGGCTGACAGATAAGGACATCCACAGAACCGAGCCTAGTCCAGAAACGGGTTTGCCACATCCAGTCCATCCCAGAGGCTCACAGGTGGAAAGCGGCACATAAATCAACAACTTCTGGGTCCTCAGACACCACTCAGACAGCATTCTGTTGGCCATTCATGCCAGCTGCATGCACTTGCCAGGACTCTGCGTGTGAGGACAGTGAAGGAAAGACCAGCAACGTGGGGGCCGATGTGTATTAAGTATCATCAGCAAACGATGCAGTCAGTTGTTTGGACGGGGATGTGTAAACACCAATAATACCACCCCCAAACAGTACGCGTGTCTAGGTAAAGAGTTTTTCAGACTATTTTCAGCCTCATTAACTTCATTTCCAGGACCAGCAGTTTAAGATGAATGACAGGATGAAAAACGACATTAGGCAGTGAAAGTAACACCTTCTCATTTAGTCGCCTATATGCTCATCCGTCCTATTCCTCCGCATTGACCCCAATTCCCAGCAAGCACAGAGCAGGCATCCACAAGCGCTGTCACTGAATGAATGAATTTTAGACTCATCACAGCACTCACGGCCCCTAGCACTGTGACTGGCTCAGAGTATCCAATGTGGGCCAAAAGAAGAATGTCACTATGAAAATTTTCCATCTACATCAAAATCACAGTTTGAATTTTTATCTTTTAACCTACGATGTTATTGCTAAAATACTCCTAGCATTATGTTCATTCATTTGGTATTTACTGAGCCTTTGCTGTGTACTGGGCTTTACTGAGATTGTATTTCCTGTGGTTAAAGCAAGAACGCTGGTATTAGAGGGATCTCAGCTAGAATCCCAGCCCTGCTCCTTACTTACTGTATGTCTTGAGGTGGGTTACCTTACCTTTGTAGGCCTCAGTTTCCTCATCAATCAAAGGAAATTAATACTTCTTAATCTTGTAGTTGAAAATGAGGACTGAATGAGATAAAGAGTTGGATACAGGCCTTGGCACCCAGCGGGAAATAGAACACGGTGGTTAGGAGCATGGGTGTCTAGAGTAGGACTAAGGGGTTAAGATCTTGATCTGTCATTTAGTGGTTGTATGATCTTGGGAAAGTGCATTAACCTCTCTGAACCTTGGTTTTATTATCTGCAAAATGGGGCCAACAGCTCCTGCCTTTCTGGGTTGTCAGGAGAATCACATGAAACCAGGCACGTAAAGGCGTAGGCACCTCTCTATACCTAGTACATTTCTTCATGGTAAATTTCCATGAGATCACTGGCTATTATGAGGTTCTAAGTGATCAATAAAATGGTGAACAGATACACATACACTTGTGCAAGTATATAAGTGATATATCTATACACATATCACAATTTCCATCTGTCCACCCATCCATATGCTCATCTAAAATGCCACTGATAGCCACCCATGATCATTGACTAACATTTTTTTCTTCATCTGCTTAAGGTTAGAGTGCCCGAGTAGCTGATTCACAGGGAGGCTGATTCACCTGTCCGAGGAGGTCACCCACCCAGCTGGCAGGAGGCAGCCCGGAATGAGTCAGGGCTGACCCCGCATCCCTCAGGTTGCTGTCCCAGGCAGGGCGTTTGCTGTGGCTGCTGGAGCAGAGGTGGAGGAAGGGTGGGCAGAGCAGCCAATTACTTCATGTTGACATTTCAATATTGGAGACCGTGGGTGGATTCCCTCCCCTGGATACTTTGTTCCTGAACAGCCACCTACACTCATCACAGGCCCGAGCCCAGAAAATACCCTCCCCACTGCAGACCGCAGAGCACATCACTGCCAACAGGCTCCAAGACTCTCCCAAGTCTCCCGCTCAGGGTAACCGCAGGAAAGTCTCAAGCTTCAGATTTCCACCCCTTTTCTTCGTTCCCCCCTTACATTCTCTTTCCCTTCAGCACCTGCTGAAGTCTTTGCTTCTCTCACTCCCGTATGACCTCAGGAGCTTCTGGAGAAACTACTGCACAAGTTCAGCACAGCTACTAAAGTGAAAAATACATACAAATAACCCTGATATGGTTTGGCTCTGTGTCCCCACCCAAATCTCACCTTGAATTGTAATAATCCCCACATACCAACAGCGGGGCCAGGTGGAAACAACTGAATCATGGGTGCAGTTTCCCCTATACTGTTCTCCTGGTAGTGAATAGGTCTCATGACTGATGAGGCTGAGATCTGATGGTTTTATAAAGGAGAGTTCTGGCCAGGTGCAGTGGCTCACACCTGTAATCAGCACTTTGGGAGGCCAAGGCAGGCAGATCACCGGAGATTAGGAGTTTGAGACCAGCCTGACCAACATGGTGAAACCATGTCTTTACTAAAAATACAAAATTAGCCAGGTGTGGTGGCACATGCCTGTAATCCCAGCTACTTGGGAGGCTGAGACAGGAGAATCACTTGAACCCGGGAGGTGGAGGGTGCGGTGAGCCGAGAACATGCCACTGCACTCCAGCCTGGGTAATAAGCATGAAACTCCATCTTAAAAAATAAAAATAAAAATAAAGGGGGGTTCCCCCGCACAAGTTCTCTTGCCTGCTGCCATGCAAGATGTGCATTTCTTTCTCCTTTGCTTTCCACAACAATTGTGATGCCTCCCCAGCCATGTGGAACTGTGAGTCCATAAATCCTCTTTTCTTTATAAATTACCCAGTCTCCAGGAGGTATTTATTAGCAATGTGAAGACAGACTAATACAAACCTATAACCAGTGATTCTTTCTCTAAGTAAGTACCCAACAGACATGAATTCTCATATTCACCCCTACACATGCACTAGAATGTTAACAGCGACCTAGCCATTGAAATCCCAACCTAGAACCAACCTGCAATGGACGGAATGTTTGTGTCCCAAAATCCATATGTTGAAATCCTAATCCCAATGTGATGGTATTAGGAGACGGGGCTTTGGAAGCTCATTAAGTCATGTTGACGGAGCCTCATGAATAGGATTCCTGCTCTTTTAAAACAGACTCCAGCCAGTTCTCTCGCTCTTTCCCTGCCTTATAAGGATACAAGGAGAAGTGAACAGTCTGGAAGATGGCCCTCCCCAGAAGCTGCCCATGGACCTTGGACTTTTCAGCCTTTGGAACTGGAAGAAATACATTTCTATTATTTCTTTTTTCTTTCAGAGTCTCACTGTGTCACCCAGGCTGGAGTGGAATGGCGCAATCTTGGCTCACTGCAACCTCCACTCCCAGGTTCAAGTGACTCTCCTGCCTCAGCCTCCTGAGTAGCTGGGATTACAGGCACAATTTTTGTTGTTTCTAAGTCACCCAGTCTGCAGTACTTTGTCACGGTAGTCCAAACCAAGACGCAACCCAAATGTTCGTCAACAGAAAAGTGGATATAATATGATATATTCATATAACAAAATATGTTCATGCTGTGCTATATAAAAATAACCACACTACTGCTAAGTGCAAAAAACATAGATAAAGCTCATCAGCATAATGTTGAGTGAAGGAAACCTGACACCTAAGACTACTCCATTTATGGAAAGTGCATAAGCAGATGAAACTGACCGATGTGCTGGAAGTCAGCACAGTGATGGCCTTGCATGTGTGTGTGTGTGTGTGTGTGTGTGTGTGTGTGTGGTGGGCGGGGGTGCTGGAAGGAGCATTATTAGGGTGCTGGGAGAAAGCAGTGTTCTGTGTTTTGATTTGGGTGCTGGTTACATGGATACATACCTAGTAGAAACTCATTGGGCTGTCCTTTTATGATCTGTATACTTCTGCAGGTATGTTATTCTTCCAAAAAATGTTTTTTAAAAGTCATAGCCTGGGCAACATGGCAAGACCCCAATTCTACAAAGGATACACACAAAAAAACTAGTTGTGTGTAATAGCTTGTAGTCCCAGCTATTTAGGGGACTGAGGAGGGAGGATCTCTTGAGTTCAGGAGGCAGAGGTTGCAGTGAGTGAAGACTGCACCACCACACTCTAGCCTGGGTGACAGAGTGAGACCCTGTTTCAAAAAAATAAGTCAACAGGGAAAGATTTAACAATTAATATACGGTGTTGAAATCTGTAAAAAACATAAAGCGCAGTGATACCTGAAATATCCTTTTCTAAAGTCTTTACACAGTGAAGAGTATTTGCAGATGGGCAATGTCTACAGAGGAATCTGGGGCTCCAGGCCTGGCTGTACCCATCTGGGTATTTATCAGGAGCTGAGCTGGAGACAAGTTCAAGAGGAAAGCAGAGCTCTAAAGATAAGCAGGTATCAGGCAGGTGTCCAGGATGACAGCTAGAATGGTCCCCGCAAGGCAGTCCAAGTGTCCACAGCAGCTGCTCCCAGCTCGGAATTCCTCATGACTAATAAGGGTGGCCTAAAAGCCACTAGCAGTGTGAGATGTGGGAAAAGGAAGGGAGAAGAGGATGCAGGTTTACTGAGCATGTGCTTGAAACCTATATCACTTCCATGATTCCTTTGAGCAATGCCACAACCCATATATGTAGTAGCAACCCCTATTATATCTATTTTATGGGTGAGGATACGGACACCCAGAGGACCAGCTCATGGGTGCATAGCCTTGATGGGAACCCATTCTTGAACTTCTTCCTATCTTCTCCTCCACTGTATGGGTACCCAGTTATCAGACATGATTCTTTAGCCATTAAGTAGGTATCACAGCCGAGGGAAGAGAGGAGCACAAACTGAGCCCAAATTCCGACACCAGCATTTACTACTTGCTGGGTAAACTTCAGAAGTGACTTCAACCTCAGTTTCCATGTCTGTGAAATGGGGACAGCAGCAACAATGCAGGCTGACATGTCCTGGGCACATTCTAT